ATTATGGGGAGGTTTCCAAGACAGGGATTAACATTAGTCTTAGACAAAAATGCACATTTAAACTATACTAAGTGAAAAAGCATTTCTCAGACATGGTTTAAAATAGTCTTAGACTTTCCCTTATATTGATTTATAATCAAGGATCAGGAGGATCAGAGCTAGCCTGGGTCTAAGTGAAGGAATAACTTAAACGTGGTCAGAGGCAGGTTTAACTTCAGATTAGCTGATGTTGGCCTCCAGGTTGTCCTTGGCAACAGAGGAAAATGGATTACCTGGACTATTTCGATGACGATGACAGAGCACCACAAAGACCAGACAGAAGGGCGGTTATAGACAGGAGCAACCCACTGAATGATTTTGATGAAATTGCTGAACTTGTGTGACCATTTTCACATGTAAAAACTAAATTCCGCTCACGTAATTTGTTTGCTTGAACCAAAGGGTAAGGACACAGCAAACCGATGAAAAGCCGACTGTGGTGTCGCCTCGGCTTGTGTTGTCTTGCATCACCTGTGTCGGGGACAGACATTTGCACAAAACCACACCAGACAGACTACAGCCAATGGCCAACAAGAGTGTGCTCTCTATGATTGCATGAGAGAACATAACTCTCCCATACCAGCAGGTGGCAGTAGTATGTATTAAGCATTCAGACAGGGAAAGCGGAAGAGCTAGAACCGTGGCTATACTAAGCAAGCAGCTTGTAACTAGGGATGTAACGGTATGAACATTTCTTATCACGATTATAGTGACCAAAATGATCACGGTTATCAGTATGATCACGGTATTGTTAACATGTGCTGGAAATGTTCAAAAAGTACTGACACACAAATCATTTCACCAAATTTTACATTTAAAATCAACAAACAACAAATAAAATGAGTTTTTGTTTGCATAACTAAAACAATAACATTGCCAATGACGTCCGGATTTTAAATGACAACATGACTGACAACAGTTTATCTAATAGCATGTTCATTTTTTTTTGTTTGTTTTTTACCGTGTCAGAGACAGAGACGCAGAGCAGAAAGCAGAGATGTTCTGTCTCATAGCACGATGACAAGTCACTCTCTCTCTCCTTCATGCTCACCATCTGACTTTGGTCTGTTTTTGCCAGCCATAATGTTTTGCTCGTAGTTAGGTGTTTAGCGTTTGATGACAGGCTCGCTAGCCCACTAGCACTGTTTCTCGCCAGCTCGCTCTCCGACCAGTGGGATTCCCTTGTTATTAGTTGAGTAGCTGCTGTTTACCCTGGCTTGTGGGTTCTGGTAGCCTAGCAGAGACCCACCAAGGTCCCAGCGAGGGCTGAGCTCATGTGTTTACCCTGGCGCTGCCCACTTCAACCTAAAAACAGTGGCCGGGAGCGGGCAGAAAGTCATGCCCAGTGGACCGTGACTAGCACTGCCAAGATAAACAGCTGTTTTGTTTGGAGAGCTGAGGGGGCTTCTCCTACCCACAGCCAAAGAGTTTGCTTTTCAACACCCCCCTCCTGTGTACACACTCGAGGGTTGATGAATTGGGCCTAGCTTCTCCAAAAAGACAGTTTTATGTCTTGTCGCTTAAGTGTACTGGAATTAAAATTGATGAGTCTGATGTAGTTGCAATTTGGGACCATGCGCTGCCAAAATATCTATGACGCAATCAGAGCCAATAGACATTTTCTTAATCTGGCTGTGGCTGTTTGACAATGAATGTTTGACAAATTGTAACAATTTATTTAGTTACAATACTGTACTTGCAGTTACTGCAAACGAGACACCAGAATTATGTCTTAAAAATGTTGATAGTGCTCTTTACTTTATAAAACAGGTTTTCTTACACAAGTGAATTACTGATGGCGTTTATTAAATTCATCAACAATATGTTCACATTCATTATTAATCTTATGCCTATTGTGCTAAAAATAACTGTTAATATTTCTTATCATGTCACATTGACAAATTACATTGACGAATTAATTGAATTTAATTACATGAATTTTTACAGAAATGTAATGTTTCAGTTCAAAATAGCAAAATTAGACAATCTTTATTAGTTCCCAATCCCTGATTGATGTCGGTCGTTTAACATTTCTATAGTTAAACAGCTGTCAAATATTAAATGTTTAGTAATTTAGCTACTTACATTTTATCGTACACTTTATGACTGAAGCATCATTGTGTAATTCTGCCAGTCTCATTATAGCAGCTGACTTGTTTCTTCTCTGCCCAAACGGGCAACGACTTCACAGCCAGGGTTTGAGCACAATGGTACATCATTAAACTGATTTCGGACAGGCTTCTGAGGCACCATATCAGTCGAATGATCAGCATCAATATTTACTTAATACTATACTAATTTCTTGCTATAAATGAAATCAAAAGCTGTGATCTGCTGCAGGAAAGGTGCAAGAACCAAGCTACCTAAAACATGATGATGCTTTATATTAAGTGCTTCAGACAATCGCATAAGCACATGGTTTATTGTGGCTCTTCAGATGTGTGTGCTGTTTAATGTGTGCGTTTTCCCCAGTGCAGCAAACGCAAAACTTGCATTACTTATGGGTTTGTCCTTATTTGAAAATATCAGAAAGTCAATTTTGCACAAAGGCAATTTAACATATAATTGGATGTAAATGTAAGTTTATTATATTTAGAACAAGGAAATCAGAGAAAACTTGTACACTCTTAAAAATAAAGGTGCTTCACGATGCCATAGAAGAACCTTTTTGTCTAAATGGTTCCATAAAGAACCTTCAACATCTGAAGAACCTTTCTGTTTCACAAAAGGTTCTTTGTGGTGAAAAAAGGTTCTTGAGATTATAAAAAGGTAATAAAGAGATGGTTCTTTAAAGAACCTTTGACTGAATGGTTCTTTGTGGAACTAAAAATGGTTCTTCTATGGCATCGCTTGAAGAACCTTTTGAAGCACCTTTATTTTAAGAGTGTACAGTAGCCACATTAGTTGTAGACATTGTCCCTGGTAGAAATCATGTAAAACCTAAGCTAGTTTTCTGGTCTTTGCTGGCTTAAGGGCCTGATATACTTCAAACGAAGTTTGTTTTCGTTCTTCGTTTGTGGGCAAAAAGAAGTTTGAAAAGGCTGAGCGACGGTATACTGTTTCCGAACATTCCGACACCCCCGCACTGCTGGAGGTGGGGTTTAGATTAAATGTGTGTCACGCTACTCGCACGTATGCCCTAAACACAACAACGATGAAGTGTAGGCAATCTAGGTGTGAGACAGGCACCAATGGTCAGAATATTATAGACAAAAGAATAATGATTGGCAGCAGTTCAGAGTCAAGTATCATGTTTGCAATGCAAAAGAACCATTCCATTTCCATAATCAGTCCTTTATAGGAAGTGTGATGGCTCATAGTCTGAAAACTTTAGCATGATGTGGAAAAAAATATTGGAGTCAGTTTGTTACTTTATTTTATTAGTGTTCATTTATTTTATTAAACTGGATAAATTAGTACATATTTTTATATTTTATGTGGTGTCATGATTTACTTTTGATAAAAACAAAGGTTTATTATTGTATGTTCGTTTGGCATTTAATTTATTGTATACCCTTTAAATTCGCTTATTGAAAGAACAACAGCAGCAGCAGTATGGTGTAACATTTATTTGAAACACATGTATTTGGTACTTGCTACCTTATATCTTTACTCTTTCCTTTCATTCTTTTCATGGCTTTGGAAAACTTGTCTGGAATGATTCTCTACGTCACTTTTTGCATAACTCCGGGTCTTCGACACCAAGCTTCGTTGCAATTTCTTTCTAGAAATTAAATGCCTTCTCTGAATCTTTAAAGTCTCTCCGCGAGCGATCGTACAGGTGTGGATATATTTTCAGCTATTCAGCTATTCGACACTCCAGTGTGTTCATGTTGCTAGTGACTTGGAGATGTTGTTCTTCTGCCTGACCTCCAGAAGCGAACAAGCGAACCGGGAAAAAAAAATCTCGCGTCAAAGAAGGTGGAGTTCCAGAACACACAAAGGCTAATCATGACCGATCATTGTTTACATTATCAGTCATCGCTGTCACTTCAGAAAACTTGTGCACATCCCTATTAATAGTCCTACTATTAGGGATGTAACGGTATGAACATTTCTTAATCACGATTATAGTGTCACACTTCTCAGGAGGCAAGGAGCGAGGAATGAGGAACCATGGAGATAACTTCAATTCACAGTCTTTAATGATCACACGGGGAACGTAGGAGACACTGGAACACAAGGAATGACGTTTGAGGACCTACAAACACTAACGGAAAGGACGGGGGCTTTTAAACACTGGGTGATTGGGAAAACACAGGTGCAAGGAATGAATGTGCTGGAAATGTTCAAAAAGTACTGACACACAAATCATTTCACCAAATTTTACATTTAAAATCAACAAACAACAAATAAAATGAGTTTTTGTTTGCATAACTAAAACAATAACATTGCCAATGACGTCCGGATTTTAAATGACAACATGACTGACAACAGTTTATCTAATAGCATGTTCAAATATCTCATGTAAATGTTCAAATAAAGCTTTGAAAAAATGTCATAAATGGTAAACCTGACATTTCAACTTATAAATAAAGAAAAGGGTCAAGTCAAAATGATAATTGATTTATAAATTGTATTTGTATATGTATTTTATCTGCTCCATAAATAATACTAGATACCTTATTGTTTAAATGTGTAGAATCCACATAAGCTTGTTTTTCATCAACCGGTCAACATTTACAGCAGGGCATGCTAATTCAGTCCCTTTTTTGGCCCAGACAAAAACTGCACACAGGCTGAATGTAAATGTAACTCTGTAAATCCACTCTCTGACACGAGGTGGCTCTATAGGAACAGTAGAATTAGAGCTATTACCGTAACCTCCGAGGACAAAACAGCATTGCGTTTAAAACACTACTTTATTAGGTATTACGTGGAGCGAAGACGAAAACAAAATGCCATCAAATCTTTTCTGAAGACAGATTATTAATTCATCCATATGATAATTTGTATAATTCCTTTAGCACTCTTTAAAACTCCCAGCTTTTCCTCCATGTTTTCACATAAAACTAAAGCACTCTGCTGCTGTGCGCACGTGAGACTGTTACTTAAACTGTGTTTTATGCTTCAGGGCTCCAGACTCATTCTTCCCACTGGTCGCTCTTTTGCGACTAACTTTCTCAGTTGGTCACACCAGCACATCTAATTTTTTGGGATTAATCAATGCATACTGATGAGCTTTTATCAAACTGATCACTTAAAGGGAAAGTTACAGCAACACAACAGACAGAAAACTGAAGCTGATATTATTGAGTACTTTGACACTATAAAACAAAACACTGTGCATCATTACTTTTGTATACTATTTGAGATTAAAACTATCAATTATGATTTAAAAACATCACTTCAAGTGTTTTGACTTTGAATTTTAACATATTTAATCAATGATCCTGTGGATCATTTGAGGCTCAGCTAGAGGTCTTATTAGTGCTGTTTAACCAGAGGAAAAAAAAATCAATCAACAACTACAGTGTTAAATTGCTTGCAGGTCAATCAGGTTTATTGAAGCCTCGGCCCTAGATATAAAAACATACAAAGTAAAACATGAAGAGGAAACTATTTATAAAATGCAATAACACATCAAATAAAATACTTAATGCAACTGAATATTGTATAAGTTACATCACTATTGTTAGCTCGTAAAAACATACTTTAAGTAGTAATAAATACAATATTGTTGTTTTTTTAAGTTACAAACTGCCCATTTTTAGTTACAGTATAATGGACATTCTTTTGCTTAACTTTAAATAAGAGTGACGTATAAGATGCAAACAACATTGTCCATGTTTTATTTTTCTCTCACACAAACACAGAGGCATATATATATATATATATATATATATATATATATATATATATATATATATATAAAACACACACACACACACACACACATAACATTAAAAAAGAAACACACATTTCATCAGTCTAGCACACAATGACTGTCATTCTCTCGTGAAGAATCAAAGAAAATGTGAGTTTTGAACATATAGTGGTTGTGGTCTGAACAGATGTAAATATTAGAGTAAATGTTTCAACAAATATACAATTATCCAACAATCCCTCATTCAACAGCTGAACGCAGGTTTTGTGTTCGCTGGTCTCTATCACTCATTTTTGTCTATTTTTGTTTATATATGTACACACACACACACACACACACACACACACACATATGTGTGTATTTTATTCACATATCTTTATTTTTTTATTATCTGTGTTGTTGTCTCTGTGTACTGGAAGCTTCTGTCATCAAAACAGATTCCTTGTATGTGCAAACATACTTGGCAATAAAGCTCTTTCTGACTTCTGACTTCTCATCCGATGCTGCTGTAGATCACCGATACGTCTTCCACAGTTTGAACATTTGATGTCCTAGAACATCTAAACAAACAGGAGCACAACAGCGTTACAGCTCTGATAAATGATCTGTGCTGGTGAAGTTTTAGTTTTCTCACCTCTCGGCAGCATCAGGCTGATGAACTCTTATATCGTCATACTGACATTCATCGTCTTGCGGTCTGTTCGTCCCTTTCTTTCTGTGATATTGAGCAGTTGTGCACTGGATCTGCTCAGTATCTCTGGATTCAGGAGTTTCTCCTCTGAATCTGCTGGGCTTCACATTGGCATACAGAGCATCATTGACTGTATCTGGTTCAGAAAGAGGCTCATCATGAACTGAAACTCTCTGTGACACATCAGCATAAAGATCATTCTGAAAGACAAGAAAATACAGAATTACAGTTTTTTTTTATAATAACACAACATTTCTCAATAATAAAGTCACTTTTTCAAAACTCTTCACACAGTTCTCCTAACCATCTTTCAACTTAACACAGCAGTTCATTTCATATTCAAAATGCACAAAACTACCAAAACACTTCAATAATGTCTCAAATCAAGGCATTCTTACATAAACAAACACGCTTTATCACTAATAACACAACAACCTAAAAACACAAACAGCAGGTAGCATTATAAAATGTTTTATTTTGTAAAAATGCATTTTGTGCCAAAGCAATGATAAATGATCCACAGTTTAGCGCACAGAGACTGATGTTGTGCTCGCTGTGTGAAGAGTTTTGAAAAAGTGACCTAATTATTGAGAAATGTGTCCTAGAGATTGTAAAAAACTTTAAGACATTAATTTTTCAGAGGTGAGGTGCAGCTTCTGAGACAGCAGCAGGTCTCAAACTTTTCAGACCAAGTACAACATAAGACCAAATAACATCCGATAACTAAAACAAATTTCTGCTTCTGTAAAGTTGAGTTGATTTACCTGTTTCATTGTTATATCTTCAGGTTTATCCCTGTTTCTTTTCCTCCTGTTATAATGACAGACAATAACAGCATACATTAATATAATTAACACCTGATGTACTTGACATACACACATATTAGTCTGTTTCATTCTTATTCCAGCGTCACCGTAGCCACTCAGATCCAGTCCATATCCAGACCAGATGGTGGATCAGCACAAGACAACCTCTACAGCCCTGAACGTCAACTAGATGAGCCCTAGAGACAGATCCCCTGTGAAGACCTCATCACCTCGATGACCATCGGCACAAGACCACGGGAACCAGACGAGTCCTCTGCACAATCTGACCTGTGCTGCAGCCTGGAATTAAACCACATCATGCTGGTTTCGTCAGGCCAGAGGAGAACTGCCCCCCGACTGAGCCTGGTTTCTCCCAAGGTTTTTTCTCCATTTCTGTCAGTGATGGAGTTTTGGTTTCTTGTCACTGTCACCTTTGGCTTGATTAGTTGGGGACGCTTAATTTCTGGCAATATTGTTGACTTGATTCACACAGATACTGAAAAAAAATGACTTTACTATTGTCCTCTTGCATTATTGATACACTTTTTCCCCATTTGACACTGTAAAGCTGCTTTGACACAATCTGTGTTGTATAGAATGCTATAGAAATAAAGGTGACTTGACTTGACTACATACTAATAATGAAACATATAAGAATTTTTTTACTACATTTTTTTACTACATCAGAACAAACATTTACATATATATAATCACTGCAGTTTCTTTTTTATTGAACTCACACTATAAACAGGATGATGATGAAGATGATGATGATGAATAATCCTCCAGATGTTGCTGCGATCACAATCACGTTCCTATCAGCACCAGGATGAACTGAAAGATGAAGATCATCATAATTAACACACTGATGAATGATGTGAAGATACAGGAGTGTGTTAATAAAAGCTTCACCTGTGACAGTAACAGCGTCTGATCTCTGAGATCCATGTTGATTGTGAGCCTCACAGTAGAAGCGTCCACTCTGTAGTGCACTGAAACTCTGTCCAGATCCAACAGCTGAGCTTTGATTCTCCTTAAACCAGCTGAAGTTCAGAGCAGGAGGGTTTGCCTCACTGCTGCAGCTCAGAGTCACTGAATCTCCCTCCACTATTTCTCCAGATCCAGTTATGGACACTGAGACATTCTTTGGAGGATCTAATAACAATCAACATAGTATTAAAAACCTCTTATACATTTAAAAAATTACTAATGTGAGTTGAAATTATAAAAGCCATCTAATAAACTTACACATGACGTTTAAAGTCACAGCAGCAGAGTATTTCTTTCCATGTTCATTGATGGACTTGCACTTGTATTCTTCACTGTGATCAGAGCTGATGTTTGAGATGCTGTAGATTCTTCCAGATCCTACAAACCTTCCTCCTTTAAACCAGCTGAAGTTCAGAGCAGGAGGGTTTGCATCACTGCTGCAGCTCAGAGTCACTGAATCTCCCTCCACTATTTCACCAGATCCAGTTATGGACACTGAGGCACTCCTGGGAGGGTCTAATAACAATCAACATATTATTAAAGACCACTTATACATTAAAAAAGTTACTAATGTGAGCTGAAATGATAAAAGCCATCTAATAAACTCACACATGACGTTTAAAGTCACAGCATCAGAGTATTTCTCTCCATGTTCATTGATGGACTTGCACTTGTATTCTTCACTGTGATCAGAGCTGATGTTTGAGATGCTGTAGATTCTTCCAGATCCTACAAGAGTTCTTCCTTTATACCAGCTGATTTCTGCAGGAGGGTTTGCATCACTGCTGCAGCTCAGAGTCACTGAATCTCCCTCCACTATTTCTCCAGATGGACTGATGGACACTGAGACACTCTTTAGTCGGTCTAAAAAAAAAACAAGACATTAACAAAGTAAATTTGACATCACACAAATGAGACTAATAAGTCAGAGATTGATGAAATTCCATCAATTTTGTAAGCAGATGGACTGATGGAGATCACAGGATTCACTGGACGTAGCAGTGCTGGCTGGTGGACACTTTTCTATGTAGGGCTGATGTAACATAACATAATCTCTAGTTTGTTTTAGTTTGTTTTGTATTGCTTTTAATATACTTTGTATGTTGAAAGTTGAGTTAGGTTCGCAATATTTCTCTTCTGCATGTGGGACTTTTATTTTGAATCTGAATCTGCATTCACAGCTAAAGGGGTAATGGCAAAAAGATACAGGAGCTAACGCTTCATCACGGCTTGCCAGAACTCTTTCACGGAAAGATTGTTTATATGTTTGTTCAGCACCCCCCAAAAAAGGCATAAGGTCTGTATATATCTGACAACTGTTAGTTATAATAAGTATTTTGTGAAATTTGTTATAATAATGTTATAGTATGTTATAATAATGCAGTAGAGAGAATCTATGGACTAGGCTTTAATGCACATTTGTTGTACTTTGTTTTATTCAACTCTTACGTTGGTTTTCTTGGAGTAAACGGACACTAATACAACTTCATAAAAATCATCAGTAAAGCTTTGGTCCTTATTCAGTCAGGGGGAAAAAAATATTAAGACTACACTGTAAAAAAATTGTGCCTTTAACCCTTTAAACCCCACAACAAAATCCTCAGTTTTAAATTAACACTTATAATGTGTCCACACTACAGAGTGAAGCAGTGCTGAAGTTAATGAGATAATTATGTGATTAATTAAGTGCTGATTGAGCATTAGTGATGAACAGCTGCTGTTAACAGCAGAATTACTGAAGAAAAGAGAAACAAGAACTACAACTGACTTCAGCCACAGACTTAGATGATATCAACTGAAATAAAAGACATTAAATCTCTCAAGATCTGATTAAACAACTTCTAAAGCAGCATCACCAGCTTCACATTACTAACCAGACTGCTGCTATTTCTGTCAGATGTGTAGAGAAGTACTTATTGAAAATTAACAGAGGTTTAGATGTTGTTGTTTTGGGACACTACCATGATGGAGATCAGTGTTTGCTTTAGTTAGGATCTTGAACCTTGATTTCTTTAACATTATTTTTATTTGGCTGCTTTAACTATTGTGTTTTTCAACACATTTATTGTGGCACACAAACAGGCCAAAGCACAGTATGTAATGCTGATGGTTGTGATTAGCAAATGACACTGCCATCTTTAAAAAAACAGGTTCACTGATTTTGTCTGGAGTCTGATTTTGTACCGAAAGTCAAACTGTAATGCTGTGAGTGGAGTTGTTTGATCGTGTGCTGCTGTCTTATTCAGTTGATATCATCTAAAGTTCTGAAGTTTGAGGAGGATTCTCACAAAACTGTATTTTTCGCAAGCTTTTTTCAATTTAAATTAAAAATAATTTGTACTTCTCTTAAATTGCAATGTATGTACACACTGCAACAGCAAAAACTATGAGGGAAAATAATTGTTACACTTGTTTAAAGTGTCTAAAATGCTTAAAGTGCAATTTAGCTTGTTGTGTTCATATTCTGGGCTCTTCTGCTTGTCTGGAAAGTATGCTTTGATAATAAGATGAGGACAGAATGTGGCCTTCCAATATCACTGTTTTAGTATATTAGGCTTCATTATTTCATGTTTAATTTAGCGTTTAGTGTTTGATAATGTCGCAAATCCATGCCTTCTGAAATGTGTTTGTGTTTTTACTTTGATTACATCATCATACATCAAAACTTTACTTGCGAGACACGTTTGCTTTATCCAGTCCTAGTTCTGACTTTAATTTTTGGGATTTGATTCAGGATTCATTGCTCTAGACCCTCTTTTGGCCAGCTGCCACTGGTATTTATGGTTTATTCAACAAATTAAACTGATCACTTAAAGGAAACACAAAGACAGAATAACAGAAGCTTGTAAAATTGAGCACTTTGACCCCATAAAATGATACACTGTTCATCGTGAAGCTGCACTGTTATGATTTTGTTCAGTAGTTCAGGATACAATGATCAATTATGATTTAAAGCAGGAATATGTTGTGAAATAAGGAAGTGCTTGAATCCACAGTGAATGACTTCATCAGTTTAGATGGAGGATGTTTCACAAATAAACACACAGATACAGAAGTGTGAAAACAGAGCAAAGACATCAGCAATGAACCACATGCTGCACCATCAAATAACCAAACACACGACATTTAAGACTATCGAGATAATCAACGTTGATTTAAAGACTCAGTGACATCCAAATGTGAGTTGTGTAGCTTTTATTTAATGTCTATAAGCTCTGATATCTTTCATGTGCTAATAAAGTCACATAAACATCTACCATGGCAGCATTCAACTGTTAGACACACTCTCATATACATATAGGATGCTGCATCAAACAAATTCTTAAAGGAAGAAATGTAAATAACAAATCAACTCCATAGCAGATTCCAAGTGATCAAGAGCTTAGGATGTTCCAAATTCAGCCCATTGCAAGGGTTCGGCCAGTAGTGGGCACTCATGCAACATAATCAGTGACGTACATCTGAGTCAACGAGCTGGAAGGAAGTTACCGAGGGCTGAGTTCCAGTTCGTTTTGTATGCCCTTCACTTGCTAACTTCCCTCCGTCTCGTTTACTTAGATGTACGTCTTTGATTAGACTACATTGCACGAGTGCCTACTACTGGCTGAACCCTTGCAATGGGCTGAACTGGAACATCCTAAGCCCTTGATTACTAAGAATATGCTATGGAGTTGATCTGTTATTTAAATTTTTTTTACAGATGGTTAGACTCAAGGGGGCGATGGTCTGTGTCTGTCCTTATACACTTCCCTCGTCCACTTCATGAAGTAGAATGCATTTCAAAAGGGGAAGTGCTTAGGGACGTTTGTGAGTGTGTGTCTA